TACCTGCATGCCAAATTTCAAGCAAATCGGACCATAAATAAGACTTTTTTGAATAGATCGGTCCCTGGCCCACTTAACGGAAAAAATAGACCCTATATCCTAATCTAGGCAAAAGGCTACCAATGTACCAAATACATTTCTTTAACGTAGCTCGACCCCTGCGCCACCTATCGGAAAAATTTAAACTCTGTGCACTCCTTCTTCTAAACACTTATCTAACAAAGCAGCACCCATTCGAATTGGTTATGAAACATAGCAGAAAATTGTTCCCAATTAATTCATGCTCCCAATGAATTTCACAATTATCCGAAATTAAAATTTTTCGCGTTCTTCCGGATTTTTCCGAGCTTTTCACTTGGAATTTTCTATTTTTCCATTCGAATGCCATTCCGAAGGAATTCTACACAAAATTCCATACAAAAAAAATCAATTTTCGATTTTTCCAATTTTCCGACTTTCCCGGAGAATTTTCCCAAAATTTTCTTTCGTAAAACCTTCTCCTGACAATTACGAATAACAAAGAAAAATTGAGCCAAATCGGCCCAACCGTTCTCAATTGATGAATTACTATACATCTTTCACACCATTTATATACAGGGTGTCCCAGAAGTAACCTGCCAAACTTGAGGAGAAGGCAGGTGGGGTGGTGAGCTCTCTGATAAACAAAAAATTTTCAGGTAAAAGTGTCACCGTTTTTGAAATATTTAAATTTTTTTTAATTAAAGAAAAATCGTGCCTTTTCATGTATTTTCTTTAACTTCATCTACAAAAAAGGCTATACTTTGTAAATTTTTTATGTAAAATACTTTCAGATAGTTACTTCTCCATATTCAAATACAATGTAGTTAAAATATATTAAGGAACCATTATAAAATTAGGACTATATTGCGATTTTTTACTTTTTGATATTTTCTTCCCCAACTTTGACTATCTCTGGTAAAAAAAAAAATGTACTGAGCTATAACTTTACATTACATAAAAAAATTGCTCATTTAATAAAGATTTTAGAAAGGTGCCACTCTTACTGTTTCGAATAGAAAAAAAAGTTATAGCCGCTTTTTTGGGCAAAGGACTGAGACACGCTAGAATGTATTTAATAGATTTAAATTTAAGTTGGTCTTGTTACCGGCCAATGACATGCTAAATAGTACAAAGGTACTTTATTGTTTGCTCCTGACATTATTTTGTGTTAATTACCGGAAATAATGAAAGTGGATTTTGTGGAATTGGACCCTTCGAACATTGTGTTATTAATACTATGACATAGAACACGCAGTATACGTCGCATGAATATGCGGATATTCACCTAATTTACGGTGAAGCTTGCTGTAATGCCAGAGCTGCTCAAAGACTTTATGTAGAGCAATACCCCAATCGTCGGTATCCGGGCCGTGAAGTATTCTCCCGGACCCATAGAGAAATATATGAAGGTAAGTGATTTTTACACCTTTCTTGTTTGAAGCCATTCTTCTTTTAACTATCATTTTTAACTTTTTTAAGGTCGCATACCTGGAAGGCGTGGCGGCGAGACAGGACGTCCTGCAACGGTAGATGTTAAAGTTGTGTTAGAGGAAGTGGAACTAGGTCCATCGACTTCAGGGAGAATGATGGAAAGACGGACTGGAATACCAAAAACTACAGTTCACAAGGCCTTAAAATATCATCCCTACCACATTCAACGTGTTCAGGCTTTACAAGAGAGAGATTACCTGTCGAGGGTTAGATTTTGCAGTGAAATGTTGCGAATGCATGATTCAGACCCCAACTTTTTTAATAAAATATTTTGGAGCGATGAATCATCATACAAACATGATGGTTATTTTAATTTACATAACCTTCACAGTTAGCAGATTGACAATCCTCACGAAATGAGATAAGATCGTTCGCAGTACCAGTACAAAACAAACTTATGGTGCGGTATTTTTAATTGTCAGATATTGGGACCTGTAGAACTGCCGCCAACGCTCAACTCCCACAGTTATTTAAAGCTCCTTCAGGAAAGGCTTCCAACTCTTTTAGAAGATGTACCCTTAAACCTGCGGCGAAGACTATGGCAGCAAAATGACGGATGTCCTGCTCACTACGGGCGTGAAGTAAGAGCTCATTTAGACGAAACTTATCCTCGCCGATGGATTGAACGATACGGGCCAATCACGTGGCCCGCTCGATCGCCAGACCTGAATCCATTAGATTTTTTCTACTGGGGCTGTCTTAAGGACAAAATTTATTCAAAAATAATTTAAAACGAAGAGCATTTGCGGGAACAAATAAATGGAGCTGCTGCTGAGATAGCCCAATTGAGTTTAAGATCTCTAAAAGCGTCTTTTCTTAAAAGTACCGAGCTTGTATTAGAGTATAAGGTCGCCAATTTGAGCATATTTTATCAGTAAATGAATAAATTTTTCTGCAAACAACTCATGTATGTTTTATTTCACGTGAACCCATCCTTCACACAAAATATTGATTGATATAGCCCTTGTTATTGACTCTAGTCCGAATCCCGGTAAGTATTTAACATAGAATAATGTCAGGAGCAGGTAATAATGTACCTTTGTACTATTTAGCATGTCATTGGTCGGTAACAAGAGCAACTTAAATTTAAATCAATTAAATACATTCTAGCGTGTCTCAGTCCTTTGCCCACAAAAGCGGCTATAACCCTTAACAGTAAGAGGGGCACCTTTCTGAAATCTTTATTAAATGAGCAATTTTCTTATGTAATGTAATGTTATAGCTCAGTAAATTTTTTTTCACCAGAGATAGTCAAAGCTGGGGAAGAAAATATCAAAAAGTTAAAAATCCCAAAATAGTCCTAATTTTATGATGGTTCCTTAATATATTTTAACTACATTGCATTTGAGTATGGAGAAGCAACTATCTGGAAGTATTTTACATAAAAATTTACTAAGTATAGCCTTTTTTGTAGATGAAGTTAAAGAAAATACATGAAAAGGCACGATTTTTTTAAATTCGAAAAAATGTAAATATTTCAAAAACGGTGACACTTTTACCTGAAAATTTTTTGTTTATCAGGCAGCTCATCCACGATTTTTTCGAATAGATCGGTCCCTGGTCGACTTCCCGGAAAAAAATATCCTATATGCTAATCTGGGAAAAAACCTACCTACGCACCAAATTTTAAGCAAATCGGACCATAACTAAGATTTTTTCGAATAGATCGGTCCCTGGTCCACCGGAGGGTTTTCCCAAAATGTTCATTCCCTAAGAGTTTTTCCGAACTTTCGTGTCTAGTGACGATATTATTATTACGTCGAAGATACCCGCGCTGCGACCTAAGAAGATATATTGTACTAAATCTAAACTGTAATTACTCCAACCTTAGGCTATTTAAAAAGCTCAGCACTTTGAATGAGGCCATGCTCCAAATTTGAGATGGAGAAGGCAATCGTTCTCCAAGGAGTATCAATCTACGATTCATGCTTCGTGAACAGGCACATAGAATATACTCTGGGGTTCCTTTCATCAGCCGACAAACCCAACACCGTCTCTACAGAACGACCCATTTAATTAAAAACGTACGTTAACTTGCAGTGTGCTGTCAGGTTGCCAGTAAGAGTTCTAAATTCAAGGTGGGGGGGGGGTGAAATAACACAAACGGAAATAACGCAAATTTGTGTTATTTCCCAATTGAATGTGAAATAACACAAATTTGCTTTATTTCATTTCTCGTTGAGCAATAAGACCAACTTTTATACTTTTGAGTAATAAAGCAAACTAGTGCACATATGTACGTAGTCACCCAGTTACATTTGACAAAAAGTAGTACATGAACAAGTTAAATGGACGGATTTGTAAGTATACAATTTTGAAAGTGCCCGGCGTCGCGGCGTTCCGCGTTCGCGCGACGTCGCGCTCGCGTCCCCCGCCCCTCCCCTCCTTTTGCAATTATGTACTGGTGGCATTATAACCGTTTAGAAAAAGGAAAAATGATAAAACAACACTAGTTCACTTCTGAAACTGCTTTTCAATGTCCAAGTAATGGGAATTATTGTGTATGGTGTTATTGCGTGCTGCATCCCACCCATATTGGAATTTACCAGGTGCCACTGCTTTGAAAATTTGCCTATAAAATGCCGAATGTCAGAAAATAAAGCGAGAAAGCTGTTTTATTACTTCATCTGTTTATTGCGACATGATTTCATGCAAACATTTTAAGGTTTTCCAGCAATGTTTTTAACATATATTAAAAAGCATGCAGAAAAAATTCATACAAAAGCGATATGTCCAATATGCGGAACAGTTTTTAAGGACGATGCTTTTCCTATATTTTGTTAAACTTTTCACAAGTGTAAAAATATTTTGTGAATATTACTTTCTTCATATGAATCATATCACATTTCTTGTTTAATTCAAGGCATATCAAACAGGTTTAGAGCATTTGAGCAAAAACAACATTTGCCTGTATTTTGTTATTGCTTCTGGTATCGAAGGTGCCAAAAACTGTTCTAATTTTTTTCTTCTACATCAAAGCGTGCCATGCGAAATACGAAAAAGGTAAAAAATTTAAATTGAAAAAGTGAAAATTGTTGCAACTTTCTTTCTTAGTAAATTGATTCGCTTCTCGAAGCATCGATCCATCCTGTGCCAGGCCCAGTAAATAGCGGTTGTGCTGCTGAGTTGGGCGAGCTTTCCAAAAGCTGCTATTTAATCGCTGGCTTTGTATGGAAAATGTTTCCCATGCAAATAGATTTTAACAATTTAGAATTTTTGTGAGAAGAAATGTAAAATATTTGACATTTTCGAGAACATATAATTTGAAAAAAATCAAATCAGCTGCTATACTGATATTACCTGTTCAATGTGCCTTGGTTTAATTGTATTTTTGGAATAAACAAAGTTCTTTTTCCTTCTATCAGTAAACTGTTTTTTTTTACAAATAGTTTAAATAAGCAATGGGAAATAAGGCAAAATTTGTTTTATTTCCAACCTTTGTTGGAAATAAAGCAAAACCCAGATTTTGGTATTATTTCCCATTTAACCGTTTCGGGACGATAGGGATGTTTTTATCCCGAAGAAATTCAAAAAATCGTATCTGTCACAATATGGAAGCGATTCGGTTCAAAACAGTCCCAAATCATACATTATACTCTTCTCTACAAAAACAAAAATATCAGCTGTTGGTTGGAGTCATCAGTTTTTTATTAAATGTCATTTTCTTAGACACGTTGTTGCGTAGATGGTATTTGTTTGGAAAAAGCTTAGAAAATAAGTGATTTTTAATTGAATTATAGTTACATTTTGTGCAAAAAGTGCTAATCTATTGAAATAAAAAGTTTAGAATAAAGAATAACTTATTTTCCTTATAAGAAGTCAAGGTAAGTTCCGTGGGAAGAAATCATCCCAAATCTGTTTACTCATGTACATTATTTTTCTTAGAGAATGGAGAGACCACGCAGACTGGGTGTTTCACAAATTCAGAACTTTTTGAATGAATCGAGTGATGAGGATGATCTGTTTGCTGATAGTGGTTCCGCATACAGTCCCAGTGAAAAAAGCAACATTGATTCAGAAGATGGAGAAAACACACAGCCCGGCAGAGCATATGATGAAGAAATGGAAATTGATCGTGGAAATGAAAGTGCTATAGATGAAATTGATGGTGGAAATGAAAGTGCTATGGATGAAAATGATGGTGAAAATGAAAGTACTGATGATGAAATATACGAAATTGAACGTTTGGAAGAAGATAATGTGAATGAATGGCCTGATGATATTATAAAATGGACAGACCCACAACCGACATTCAAGCCACGATTCACTATTAGCCAAGAACGAATCATTAGTAATCAGGGCATAACTCGTGGACTGACACCTTTGGAGGTATTTTTCAAGCTATTGCCTAGAAGCTTTATTCATCACATAGTAGATTGTACCAATGAGAGAATTGATATTCACAATATAAGCCATGTAAAAAACAAACGAGCTAGAACCGATTTTGGTGAGATCCTCATAATTCTCGGATGCACATTTGTAATGTCATATAATCGAGCGCCTTCTTTGAAGGACTATTTTTCAAATAGCCCTTCATTGGGGAATCCATACATAAAAAAAGCCATGTCCAGAGATCGGTTCTTACACGTTATGTCCAAACTATATTTTTCCTCGTTATCATACCAGCCTGATCCAAAACCTAAAACATATTTCATTGATGATTTGGTCAATTGCCTCAAAAGCACCTTTCAAAAATGTAGATCCGACTCTCCATTCCAAAGCATTGATGAGTCTATGACCAAATTTTTGGGTCGCTCTACCTTGAAGCAGTATATGCCATTGAAGCCAGTGAAGAGAGGAATAAAATTATGGATGAGATGCGACAGTATGACTGGCTATACTTACGATTTTAATATATATTCCGGAAAAGAAGACAATTCGCATACATCATCCACATTAGGCGAACGCGTTGTTATGAAATTGGCATCGACCATCGGACATCCTGACACTACATTGTGTTTTGACCGTTTTTTCACGTCAACAAAATTGATAAATAATATTCCTTTTCCAGCTTTAGGTACCTGTATATCTAATAGAAAAAATTTACCTAAAGTTACTGAAAAACTAAACAGAGGAGAATATGTTTTCAAGTGTAATTCATCTGGTACTTTGGCAGTGGTTTGGCAAGATACTAAACAGGTAATGCTTCTAAGCAATTGCCATGAGGCTACAGTGGGCACCGTTCAAAGAAAACAAAAAGATGGCACCAGAGTTGATGTGACTTGTCCAGATTTTGTGAAAACATACCGAAACATTATGGGTGGCGTAGATTTGGCCGACAAAATGGTTACCCTGTATGAACTAGACCGAAAGTCTGCTAAATGGTGGTGTAAAAGTTTTCTTTCGACTTATGATGACATGCGCCGTAAATGCTTGGATTACCCATGCGGAAACAAACCATCCACGTCAGAAAAGAGAACCGTTCTTGGGATTCTTGGTAGAGCTATCCGAATGCCTCATCGACGAAGGGAAAAAGAATGCGAAAATTCAGCGCAAAGTTCGAACAGGACCGGTCTCCGCAATGAAGAAAAAAATTAAACAAAATCTGGGAGATCATTTGCCACAAAGAACGAAGAAGAGACAACGATGCGTAAATTGTGCTAAAAAGGGCAAAGAGAGCCGTACGAATCAGATTTGCATTGCTTGCAACTTGGCATTTTGTAAAAAATGTTTTACTCCTTGCCATCAGATATAAATATAATGTCTTATAAGATAAAATTGAATATATAAACGACAAAATAAAATGAAATCGAGTGAATTTAAGTCTAGAATTTTTATTAATATTTTTGAATACAGATGGATTTGGGATGTTTTTATCCCAGGACAAT